CATCAAGTTCATAGTGTTCTTCATTATGCTCGTCATGGTCATGTTCACGATGCTCATCAAGTTCATAGTGTTCTTCATTATGCTCGTCATGTTCATGATCATGATGCTCGTCATGGTTCTGGTGCTCGCCATGCTGATTATCAGCAGGATGTGTCAAAGCCGCCTGATTATTGGCATTTACATCTCCAAGCTCACCCCACTGATCCCCAGCAGACATCCTTCCCAAAAACTATCAATAATAATAAACAATATTTATATTCATGTAAATAGAAAAGTACTAGAGAGGTGTTTATGCCTCCGTTTGTATTGTTATTAACAGAGACAAGAAGAGTGTACAACGCAAGAGTTTTATTATTCATAAAAACAGCAAATGTCCCACGCAAAAATGATCAGATAACAACAATACAGAAATAAAATTGTATGTCCCCATCGTTAAAGGGAAAAAAAACTTCTTTTTCTTGAATCCATCACTCCTCAAAACCCATTAGCAAAGGCATAAATAATAAACATCAAAGGGTGGGAGAAACAACTGATAGGTGAAAATATATCCAAATACACTACTGAAAAAACAGAAAAGAAAAGATTAAGGTTTTTTTCCCCGTTTACTAATAGAGACTCAAAGGGTACTGAGGAGTGGAATTGGCGTTTAAGCGTCTTAAAATGTATTTCAAAATGGCACCCAGTAGGTCAAAACAAGATGCAGTTGAAGCTTCAACGCCCCACTCCACCTCACCTTCATTTTCACAAAGATCATTAAATGTATATTATTTTCATGACTACCGTTATGAATATCTTTATTACCACTATTAAAAGTGAACTAACTAATTATCAATCAATTTAATTCATTTCGTTTTAATAATAACAGAAATAAGAGACATTTTTTTTCATTTAAAAAAGGTCTCTCATTAGATAGAAATACGTAACAAAAGAACCGCCGTTAAGCCCCCTAAACAAATAATAAGAATTCAATACAAGCTTCCCTTTCTTACCTCTACTCAGATACATGTCAAGAAAAAAAAGTAGCATCAAAAATAAGGAGGATTAAACAAAAAATTAATTGACCAATTTACCCATTGGTAGCCTCGCAGGATTTTTTTTTGTGCTCCTCGTTCCAATATTTAAACTTTAATACCAAACAAGAAAATAAAAAACATACACAGCTATTGTGAGCAACTCTGTTGTCAGCCAAAACTTCAAACAAGGCTTCTATATATGTATAAAGCCTTGTTTATAAAAGTAATTTAAATGTTTCAAGCACCTTAAATTGAGCGGCCACGCAAACAAAAAAAAACGCATCAATTTCATAAAGAAAAAAAAAGACAAATCCTTGTGTTAATAACAATTTTAAAACAATGGCTACCTCAACCGCAATATGTTCCAAACAACACATACCCGTAAAATAATTTACATACATATATAAATCCCAAAAAAAAAAAATTCCCAAGTTATCCTTCTCCCATGACCATGGCATGCTCTAGTTTAGAAGCCTCTGTTATATATATATATATATATCCTCACTGTCCCACTTATTCCAAAAGAAATGAACAAACAACTATCAATATTGCTTCAATATAATCCAGCATTCAAGCAACAATCATAAATTATATTTTACGGAAATATATAAAAGTAATCATCCCAGTAAACAGAAACCATAAAAGTTCGAAAACAAAGCAAAAAGCCATTGCTTTAAAAGAAAAAAACCTGTAAATAAAAAAAGACTTTCAACCCAAATAAAGTCAAACTGGGACAAAAAAAAATTATTCCCCCAAAAATTTTTTTGGGCTAGAGCACTACTTTAATGATAACAGGGGCCATATTACACCCGAAATAAAAGAATGTCCTCCTCGCCAATAAAAAAAAAAAAACATTTCCAACTAGACCAAATTTCGTACACACTTCGTTGTTTCGGAACATTGTTCTCCCAATCATAAATCAACCTAAACAAAATCCAAAATTTATTCTCATATCTCCTCTTGTTTGTTATGTGTACTTATATTATATATAATAAGTTAGTTTATAGTGCATTTTTAACATACCATAAAAGCCAAAATGCATTTAGTTAAAAGAGGAAAAAGGAACTCCTTTTTGGGGTTTGAGAAAATCAAAAGAGCTACAAACCTTATTGCATCCGTAGTGCAACCGCATTTTTAAAAAACAGTCTAAATTCAATAAAATATTTTATGTGTATCCCATACTTCTGCTCACTCCATACAAACAAGCCATGTCACAATGCAATTTATGATAATTGGATTTTTATTTTATTTCCATTTATTCCATTATAACTGTTCTTACTCTGTAACTCGAGCTTCATCGTCCTCCCGCGCGGATTACAGCAATGTCATTTTTGTCAAAGTTCAAAGATGTAAAAGTTAAATCTAGGCACACTTGCCAGATCCGTATCATCCTGCTAGATGCGATCCTGAAAAGAAATAGCAATCTGTTTTTTTTTAATTCCACTCCGCCCAAATAGAAATGCTATGCCAAAATAATAATAACAACAATTGAATTCCCAGCAAAGGATTTCATTGCCCACGCAAATGAAGCAGATGCCAAACCAGCACAAATGTATAATTCCCCAAAAAGTCGGTAAAGATCACCACAAAAACAAATGAGAAATAAATCCCAATATTAAAAAAAAAAATGTTTGAAGTTAAACTGCTTAAACACAGTAAGATACTCAATGCTTCGACTGCTTACGATTGTCAAATTACTTCCTTGCTTCATTGTTGTTGTTTTCGTTCTATACCAATATGTAATTTATTATTTTTATTATTATTACTATTTATTATTATTGTTGTTGTTGTTGTTGTTGTTGCTGTTGTTGTTGCTATTGTTATTTTTATTATTATTGAAAGTATTAACCACAACAATATATATATATATTGAGTGGTCCTTCTGCAAGACAAACGGAAGCATATATAACTTCTCAATATTCGTGTTAAAATTGGATAGAAGTTGCAAGCTTTTTTTTTCTCATTTCACCAGAATATAGCAAATTGTAATTTAAAAAGGATTTTGGGCAAATAGGAAATGAATAAATCAAGTTGATGATAATATCATCAAACTTACAAACAAAAAAGGAGAAAAAACATAGTAAGAACTCCCAATGACTGTGAATAAGAAGCAACAAAAACAAAAAGCAGATAAGTGCATTGACAACCCATCCGTTAGTAATCCGCTCACCAATTCAAGAAAGTGACACTATAGTATTGATGTTATTATTTGGAAGCGTATCAATTAATTGTTATTAATTGATCTTCTCAAATGATTTAGTTAAAGATATTTTTTAGTAATAAGCCAACATAGATACAGCAATAGCTATGTAATTGTGTCATAAACGCAAAAAAAAACAAGCAAAAAAACTGATAAAGTACTTCACTCTATGTAATACACAGAAAAAAGTTTGTACAGAACATTTGTAAGACAAACACAAAACATAAACAGAACTGATCTAACAGCCCCACCGATTTTTCGCGGCATCAATAAATAAATTAAAAAACGGACAAACCTCAAATTAATTACGAGGAACATCGCCAGACACACGGGACCAACCACGAAAAAAAAAGAGAAAACAACAGGTCAAGACACCTCCGCCGCCTGGGCCCCCGCGCCGCCCTGTGGGAAGCGCGCGCGCATCCCAGCAAACCTCTCCGAACGCGGAGCCCGAGCCCACCAAGAACATCTACCGGACATTTCCTTGCACACACGCACGAAAAAAAGAAAACAAAAAGAAAAGAATTGAAACCAAAAAAAAAACGAGCCCTCCGAAGCTGAGGGGTGCGCTTCGTAACCCAACTGAAAAACCTTCCGTTCCCCCCGAGCCCTCCCCCACCCGCTGTTTTGAATTACCTTTGGCCCGCAGAAGCCTGCAAAGAAATGTGGCAGCGAATGGATTTGTACGCCTTCCACCCGTTTGAGAGGCTCGCTGGTTTTGTCCCGCCCTCGGTTTCTCCACCCGGCCAGCGCGTACGAGAATCCGGCATTTAAAACAGCGAAGACTCCCTCGACTCAATGTATTAGACAAAATGTGATGACGTCTCCGGTGTGGTATAGTGGCTAGAACAAGCGGCTCTCACCCGCTAGACCCGGGTTCGATCCCCGGCATCGGAACGTTTTCCAAACATCAAAAAAAAACATTTTCTTTAAAACACCTTTCTTCGAACTATTTCCTTTTCCTTTCTACCATACCATGCGTCACTGTCGCCCCCGCTCCCAAACAACAGGTGATTGTTTTCGCCCTAATTGCAGATATAGAAGCACCCAGTCGCACACCAGCGTTCCCGCATACACGCCAACAGGTTCACCTAGAACGAAAAGAATTTTGTTGGCGAGACCGCCCCTTTGGCTCCTCTTATGCCCTCAAGGGCACCCAATGCCAGGCAAAGGCGGAACCACCGCCACGTCCACCCCCACAAACCACGCAACCCCAACACCAACGTAATTACACGCAGCAAGTCAAAAAAAAAAAGTTAGGCGCCCAAACGCTAAGCGAGCGCGATCCAAATGCCTAGGAAAGGCCGCGCCGCGGGTCGGACCGACCCCAAAATCCAAGAGCAGCAGCTCCGAATAGAAAAACAAAAAAGATGCTAGCTTTTTTCTGGCTTCAGCTCCAGACGTAACGCGCCACATCACGGAAGAATCCATTTCTTTTTTTTTTTAAGGCAGCCCTTCCGCTTCTGCGCGTGTCGTTCCCCGTCGCCTTTGGCAGCTGCCCGCTCCAACGCCGACCCCACATAGAGTTCGGTGCGCACTACACGTTAACACGCGCAGCTGTTGGGTTAGTGAGCAAATTCATTTTCTCTGTCATTCCTGGAACGGCGCCACCCAAAACCTGTCTTCCCGCACACTCGTCCGGAATAGATTGCATTTCAAACCTCGCTGGGGCGTCTGCCTTCCACTGCCCAGGGCTCTGGGCACCAACAACCCAAATATTTGTTGTTTCTGACGAAAAAGATTTTAAAAAGCTGCTGGAAAAGTGCGGGCGCGACAGCACACTAAGACGCGACGATGGGGCTGGCCGTGTCGCCAGGTTATCCCACGTGGTTTCCTACGGCGATCTGGTATCTGGCCCCAACTCCACCCAACAGCATACGGAGACCGTTGCTTTGGACGACGCCAAAGCCACTGCTGCAGTGCACCGCGACAAGATCCTCCTGCACATGCGGCGAATGTCGATTACTGACCACACTGTAAACTGGCCAGCGGCATTCTCCAAGTAACAGGCACGCCGGGGTTGGCATCGACCGAACCACCTCCACCCCCACAACGTTCACGCGAGGAGTTCCGCTGGTAGCAGTGTTGGGGCCTCTTCCTGTTCATCAACGCCGCGGGCTTACTCACAGCGCGCATCTTGCTGCAGCGCTTTCGTCCGCCATGGCTTCTTCGCCGGCGGCAGCGCCCACGCCGTTTGCCTGCAGCAGGCAGCGGGCCAATGCCCGCTCCGCTTGGTAGCGATTTTGTTACGTTTCTGAGGGCGGAAGAGGGAGACCCTGCGCAGGTGATGCCTTGCCCTGCCCCGGGCGAGGGCCGTGCACACGACATTGGGGTGCCTCTCCGGCGCCTCACCTGCACTCATCTAGGT